CGGTCCACTCCAGTTCATCGACTTCCATTTGAAGCCCTCGACACTCCTTCAGATTGGCATGCCTTAATGTTCGCACATTGGTTCAGATCGGTCAACAGGCAACACTTGCCCGAACATTAGAGACCCTTTCGATCGATATCTGCTGCATATCGGAGACCCGCCCGCAAGACTCGAGCTCTGTGCTCACTCTGCGACCCCCTTCAGGTGACACCAGCAATATTTTCTCATTGGGCCTATCCAATGACGATGAAAGCTCCGAGCACCGGCCAAGCTAGTGTTGGCATTGCCCTGAGTCCCCGGGCTAAAGCTGCTCTGGTTGATTGGATTCCAATCAGTAGCCGGATGTGTGCGGTCCGAGTGGCTGGCTCGTTCAAAGTTTCAGTCGTGTGGCACTAACATGTGTCTATTCGTTATCGCTACATACGCGCCCAAAAACTGTGGCGATGATTCGGCGATTTCCACCGCCAACTGACCCAGCTCCTTCGCCGCAGAAGGAGCACGGACACTGTTGTGCTGGCTGGGGATCTGAGTATACAAGTTGGAAAGTTGTCCACTGATGAAATGCATCTGGGCGGTCAGCACGGTGTAGGCACCCGTAATGATAACGGTGAGCGGTTACTTCATTTGTGTGAAGATGCTCGCTTATTTCTTGCGAGCACTAATTTTCGACACAGCACTTGCCGCGCCCGCCAGCCTACAACCAACCTTAGACGCAAAGTGATCACATTGCAATCAGTTACCGTTGGAGAGGCTGCATCCAGAACTGTCGCTCGATTTGGAGCACAGGTGTGGACACCGACCATGCACTTGTATGTGCTGACCTGCGGATGCGTTTTGGCAGACGCCTACGACGACGCTGTGAGCGCATTGACACCAGTCAATTGACAAAGCCAGCTGTTCTGAATGCCTATCAATGTACGCTGTCATACAAGCTGAGTAAACGCTCACTGGAGACAAGTGAAGGTCACTGGTCTCATGTTCATCCAACCTTACTAGCAGCAAGAAAATCCTCATGTGGTAAGTCTAATAGCCAACATGGACATTGGGTCTCTTCGCGGTCTCTGGAACTTATCGATGCTCGCCGGTATGTTCCGGCTGGAAGCGAACACATTGAAACTCGCAAAGAACTCCGGGCAAGAATCCGTGCTAGCCTGAAGAGAGACCGCGAATCTTGGTGGTCTCTTCGTGGTTCAGAGATCGAAGTGGCCGCTGCCCTTGGTAACCCTCGTAAGTCATTCCGTCCGATACGGGAAACGGGCAGCAGGAGAACTGGTGTTAGTGAAATAATTTGTGACGACAGTGAACAGTCTATCCACAAGTTGTCAAAACACTTAGAGTGTCGGGCTGAGCATTTTGAAAAGCAATTTAATCGGTCGGAGTTGTTTGATTCCTCAACGGCCAGTGATTGCTCTGCTCCGTGTACTGTCCCTTTGGATCCGCCCTCTCGCTCAGAAGTCAAACGTGAGATCGGACTGTTGATGTTAAATAAAGCCTCGGGACAAGACGATCTTCATCCAGCCCCCTTTAAATTCGGGGGCTCTGTTCTTGTTGATGATTTACATGAATTACTAGTGAAACTGTGGGAGCAGGAAACTGTCCCAACCGACTGAAGCCGCTCGGTTATTGTTCACATCTTCACAGAAAGCTCAAGTTCGGAATGCAGCAACCATAGGGGAATCAGTCTGATCCCCATCGCCTCCAACTTACTTGCCTCCGCAATTCTTCACAGACTGAGTGGCACTTGTGAAAGCCGGATTCGTGAGGAGCAAGCCGGGCTTCGTCAGGGTCGTGGCTGCATCGACCACATCTTCACCTTGCGTCAGTTGTTGGAGCACCGTCACATATATTGGCGGCCCACCGTAGTCGTGTTCCTCGACATCAAAGGTGCCTTCGATTCGGTTGATCGATGTGCCCTTTGGGACTGTCTACTTAAGAAAGGTGTGCGCAAGAAATATGTAAATATTTCAGAGCTTTATATGCGCGTAGCATGGGCAGAGTAAGGGCTTACGGCAAGCTGTCGCTGTCCTACAATATCTCCAGCGGTGTGAGACAAACATGCCCGCTGTCACCTTTCCTCTTCAACTTCGCTATTGATGAAGAGATTACATTTACGGGATATAACTTGGAAGGTGTGGAACTACTCCTAGGAGAACAACTTCTTGACTTGGAGTATGCAGACGACATTGCCCTCATCTGTGACAGTTCCCAGATGTGCCAAGCCCACTGGATAGATTAGCACTGGCTGTCAGTCTCTTCGGGCTTTGCACCATCGAAGTGCAAAGCTTTCTTCCAAGATTAGCAGGGATCGCCTCTTACGCTGATCCTTGGTGGGGATCAGCTAGAAGTTATTCAAAAATTCAACCACCTGGGAAGTTATATCAACGCCCGTGGGATTGAAGATGAGATCAGGAACCGTATAGCAAAAGCTGGAAGTGTTTTTGCTAGCCTTCCCCATCTATGGCGACATCACTCTCGCCCTGAAGGGTAGAGTGTACAATGCAACGGTACGTTCGACCTTACTGTACGGCTACGAAACCTGGCCCCTTAGCTCAGTGGACATAAGGTGGCTAGTAACGTTCGACTATCGGTGGCTTCGCAGTTTGGCTCACATCTGGTGGGAACACTGAGTGAGCAACGGGCGTGTTCGGTGCTTTGTTTACGGCACAGGAAAATGAAATGAACCGCTCAGCACCGTCATTTTACGCACCAGGCTCCGATGACTCAGCCATGTATTACGCAAGCCAGCCCACCGGGTTCCACGACGTGTTGTTTGCTCACCGGGTGTGGATGGAGGAAGAGGAGGGGTGGCCAAGCGATGACTTGGTCGAGAGGAATGAAGTTCCCTACCTCGGAACTGGCCTCGGTTGGAGCTTCACGGCGTCCTGGTTGGGGTCCAAAAGATGATGAACACCTTTGGCTAGATACACTTGCTGATATGGCTAGGCGCCGACCCCAGTTGCGTTCGTGCTGTTTCTTTGTCCCTCCCCATCCCTTTTAGCCTCCCCCTCCAACCACGATCTCATTTCGTAGTGTATAATTTACATAATGATTTTCTTGTCGCCTAGTAGCCGGCTGCTAGCTTTCCGGAATGATGCCCGTCCGTTGCTGGTAGCTCAGCTGGCATGCAACTGTCGTATTTATTTTTTATGTATTGCGGCACAATAGCCGAGGCGCTTTACACCTTTGGCTAACGAGTATACTGATGAATGATGTTGATGACCTTGTCCCTACTGGCTCCAGGAGACAGTTGGTCGTTGATGAAGGTGACGGGGTGCACGGTCCTTGTGGCCGGGCTAAGCTCGAAGAGTGGTTTCATGCACTCAGTGTGGAGCGGACTAGGGTCCAGCCACCGTCTTGTATGCGATTGATTCCCAAATACAGTGTGCTTGTGTTTGCCTGTGAAGGAGTGTGTGCAGGCTCCGTGGATGACACGTGGCTCCCATCCGCATGCCTCCCGGTCTTATTCCTTCGGATTTACGCTGGATATGGGGTGTGTGGATGGAGCTGTGGGTGGTGAAGCGCCAGCCACCCATGGTCCCTCTGTAGGCGTAGACGTCCTGTGGCTGGCCCCAGTGATAGGCAAATCCGAAACCGAATGTCGTCTAGCAAGAGGACGTCATCACCTCGCAGATTAGCACCACTGACGAACCCCAATAGGGCGAAACGTGTCTGGTGTTTTCCCGGACTAGGCTGTGCTAGGTAGCTTGTGAACTATTGGGATGAAAATCTCAACAAAATTCTGTTACTCACGAATAATTTATAGAATAAATCGCCTCTCCTAGTTTCAAATGCTATGGATATAGGGTCTAGCGAGAGGACGTCATCACCTCGCAGACTAGCCACCGTCAGTGACGTTGGGAGATAGGTGGTGCTATATCCCAGTTAGATTGCAAATTATGTAGCTCAGCTAACTCCCCCCATGGCTCAGTGGCTTAAGTTGCTGGCTAGTTGGCATCCGCCTCTAATGGTCATGGGTTCGATCCCCAGTAGGGAACCGAGGGAATGCGCACCACTGACGAACCCCAATAGGGCGAAACGTGTCTGGTGTTTTCCCGGACTAGGCTGTGCTAGGTAGTCTGTGAACTACTGGGATGAAAATCTCTCCAAAATTACAACTAAAATCCTGCTACTCATGAGTAACTTATAGAATGTAATGTATTCAGTCCGGTGGTCGCACTCCCAAGTTAGGTTTCGTTCTTGAAAACTGAAAAGTCAGTTGAAGTCAACGTCGCTTGGAGTTTCGCAATATTTTCTGTCGAGCAGTCTCTCCGTCTGACGGCTTTAAATGGCTTCTTTGTCAAAGAGACAAATTTGGTCTTACAGTACATGACCAGACACACCTTCAGAATGCTCCAGAATGTTTCAAAGGAAAAGCTGTCGGAAATGGAAAAGGTGAAGTTGACGAAGGCATGCAAGTAGGAAAAGGAATGGAATATGTTTTCCTGATAACTTAAGTTAAAAACTGCAGACTAGTTCTGCTGAGGCGCTCTGCACATCAGCTTTGATGCCACTGAGAAAGTTCTGGGAGGAAGTCGAAGTGTTTCGTTCCAGACGAAACCGGAAAATAGACATGGGCAATGCGTCGTACTGTCGGCCGGTACCTGCCGAAAGAATTCATGCCTGGTTTGCAACTCAGCTCACTGGTTCGAACTCGCAATATACTTAGCCCACGCGCGACCGGTGGTGGTCGCGTGGCAGCGAACCGTTAGTACAGTGTGTCCCGGCGTACTGCTGATAGCTTTCTAATACGTCGTACTGATGCTTCGCTGCCACGCGACCACCACCAGTCGACCGCGCAGTCGCCCGCAACTACGCAGGCACCACATACCAATTGGCCACTAGCCCGAAGAAACACATGTACACAGAGACATTCAACCAGAACATCCAGCGGTCCGGGGATAGAGGACAAACTCAGTCTTACAGTCTACTGAGTAGTGTATTGTGGGAGCAAGGAATTTGAATCCGTACAACTTAGAAATAGGATCAAAAACATCAAAAACAAACTATGACTTGTCAATATGCTGATTGTTTTAACATTCTCCTTTATATTGTTAAAATATCGTTTAACTCACAGCTGATTAGGACTCAAAATGTGAGATATATATCTGTAGGTAATCGCTCTTGGAATCTAACATTTGAGAAATGCACATCCAATGGTCATACGGACTGCTGCACTGAGTTCGCTTCCAATTTATGTTCCGGCAAACCGCTGCAAACATTTACCACTCGTCGTTCCAAGCAAAGGAGATGGGGAACTCGATTCATATCTGAAACCACAAGCTTGTATAGGTCTATCGCGAAGACATTTTTCAGCTGGCGATAATTAATTAGCGACGAGGTGAAGAACACAAACCCGGATGCATATGAGCAAACCAAGAGGTTGGAGCGAGAAACAGGTGAAAGTTGTGGATGCACCGGCATCTTTTAGAGTGCTGGAAACTAAAGCAATCGCTAGTACAGTTCTGGACATTCGTTTACACCTGGTGATCGAACATCAGGATGTAATAGTGGGCGAACAGTGTTAAAAACAGCGCTCATCAGAAGCGGACATAAGGGGCAAACGAAGGTCATGGAGCTGTCATGTAGCATAGTTCCTGTGTATACGTAAGGTCAAAACGCACGAGCAAGTTAAAAGGTCATTCTGATAAACGGACTGCTGTAATCTGATCAATGTCTAACTGGGTGAGTACATGAAAGTGTCACAAGGAGAATGATGAATCAATAGGGAAGCAGAGAATTGGACGCTTTGTGTATGTGTGTGTGTGTCTGGAGTTGTGTGCACCTGTCTGTTTAGACTAGGTCAAGAATGCTGACAGAATACACAACAGTTCCTTTAAATTCTTCTAAGTTCTTTGCTTAATGCACCCGACTGGGAACATTTTCAGTATTTCACACTAGCACTGCGGATCTAATGAGGCATAAAATTGAGAAAAAATGTTTAAAAAATGCACGCATATGTATCACTCCAGTAAACGTTCGCGCGTGGTGCTGATAAGTTCCTTGGAGTCCACAAGAAAATGGGCTACATATGGTAATATGCGGTTGTAAGCCGTTGTGCTTGGTAGAGCCTCGCGCTGAAATTGATTTCACATGTTTTACATCTCCATCGCAGCTGGGCTTGTTCCGCATTACACTAGATCTGACTGAATCCACTTACGTTATATGCTCAGTTCTGTTAATCGTCCGCACATTCCGCGCTTATTTTGCGTGTTATCATTTCTCTCATTTACTGCGTCAGTCAGTTGAAATCCTCAAAATTACACTTATGCTTTCCCTAGATCAGAAGTACACCAGAACAGAATTTACACAGTCTAGTTTGCGTGTATATATTAATTCATATTACGTGTTCGTTGTTTGATGTCCCCGTTGTGCCTACGCTTGTTGTAAATGTCACGAAATCACTACCTCGATTATAATGGCCCCAGGAGACAGTTGGTCGTTGCTTGGAGAGACAAATTGCACAGTCCACATGACTGTGCTAGTCTCAAGCAGTGATCCTATGCATCCAGTGTGTAAAGTGGCTACGGATCAGTCACCGCCTTATGCATGTCTGGTACGCATGACTCCCTAATTAAATGGACGGGAATGTTTCTGTTGTGCAAATTGAAGGGTGTCGGCCGGCTACGTTTATGAAACATGGCTCCCATCCGCCCGCCTCCTGATCTTATACTATCAGGTTTACGCTGGATATGCAGTGTATTGGTGGTGCAGCGCAAACTACCCATGGTCCCCCTGTAGGCGCAGGCGTTATGTGTCTGTCCTATGGAGTCCATAGTGCTAGGCAAATCCAGATGCCGCCAATAATGTGATTGGTAAGAACAATCTAAATAAGCAACGGAGTTGGTTGTAGAGTGCGTTGAATATATTCGTTATGAGTCTGAGTAGATGTAGCGGCAGTCTTGAAGTTTGAAGAGCGAGCGCCATTTGAGGTGTGAAAAATATCCGTAGTAAAGCGAGCAAAAAACTCTGGCCATCCAGCTTCCCATGATGCGCATTTCTCGGAAGAAGAATTGATAGTCAAGAGAAACGACTTCTGGCCAGTAGAAATCGTAATAGTGAGAAATTGGAGCGTATGTCGTAAGTGGCAGATTAGGAAGGAAATCGCAAAGCTATATCAGGATTTCACTCGTTTCAGACGCACGGAAAATGCCCGTGCCTATTAAGGGAACGTCAAGTGATTCCACAAAGACACGCATCCGCGGTATGTACTCCAACACCTGCACATCAGGTTAGCTCATAACTTAACTCGGAAAAGCCGGTCGTGAGAGACGAACGTTTTAGAAAAAACCATGGACGGCTGTCACAGATAGCATTCTTGTGCTCGGTGAAAGCTGTGCGTGTCGTTTAGAAGTAATCGGACGAGCATACTTTGCATATGAATTCATTCGGAAGTTGCGTGAGTTGGGCGCATCAGGGGATGAGATATCTATAGTAGTTAACCAAACTGTAGTACCGATAAGTGAAAAAATAGGTCGAGGCTGGAGGTGATTTGATAATCACATCTTATCTAGTAGCGCTCCACTACCAAACAAGAAAATGGTACCAACTAGAAAGTCGGTCGCAGACTTATCTAGTTCACATTTGGCCGGGTTTAGCAGCCATACCAGCGTCATCAGTTTGTGGAGCGATCCTGATGAATATGTAACGTGGTATTTCTTTAGACAATACTTATTCCAATGCAGTCAGACTGAACCCAGCGTATATCTGACGAAATCTACATAAAGCGCGAGACCAGGTAAGCAAGAGCAAGACGACACGTAGTGTACCCAATTCGATCAGTGAGTAAGCGATGGGAAATTGGACACGGCAAAAATTGCTAGTTGAAAGGACTAACGAGAAGCATTGTTACAAAAGACTGAAAGTGCAATGATTTGAGATACACTACATGTTCTTGCCACCGGCAAACTAGTGATCGCCTCCTAAATAATAGTCATCATACCTATCGATATAACAACATAGAAGCGAATCGATTCCACCGAGGATTGGTGCACAAAGTGGATAACATTATATAGAATCATATATTAAACAGAGGGTGCCAACACCCATAAATAGCAAACCAATATACGATCGAAGTGCCAAACGTTCCATGAAAACGGTTTCGAAAAGGATCTGTGAACGGTTTGTGTGAACCGGGGAAATGAACACTTACGGAGAAGCCGAAGTTGGCAACTGTATTTAACGCCAACGTGGTAATGCATCTTCCATTTTTCTTCAGTGCAAATGAGAAAACGATCCACATGAATATGTTGACGGCGACGTACACCGCGTAGCCAAGGACGAAAGACAGGCCTGAAGCTTGAGCGGATGTAGCTTGTGCAACTGACTTCGCACAAAATGCTGAGAATGCCGCCAGAAATCCGGAGAACAAGGCAAGCAAGCAACCCAGAGATTGGTCCATAATTCCTAAAAGAGGAGTGACATTGATTAAAGCAGACAGATGGGTCTGACTAAGTCGCTAGGGAACCCAACGACGATTTACGGTAGTTGAATAAGTCTGATAGGCCAGGATATATGCGGTACTGCTCAAATCACTTCACGTGCAGCGATTGTACATCCCAATTGTACCTTCTTATTTCCAATTCCATTATTTACTGTACGGTTTTGTTTTAACTGACCAACAACCGATAAAAAACTTTTCCGGGTTACGATTCGCCTTCTGGTTTCGGCTACGCATGTTGTGCTGTTGATCGTCGTCGGTCTGCTAACCTCGTTCATCGGATCTAACGCGCCGCATTACTGTGCCGACTAAGTTTCGTCTTCCGACCAGATTATGCGACTACCTGACGGCCTATCGAGGATCGTGCTTTACCTAAGGTCAGGGCCAGCATTCTTACTTTATAGACTGGGGGCTCTTTTTATGCAGTTAAGCGCTTTTAGTTTGGCCTTTCCACTACACATTCGTACTGCGGATGCTGCCGTTCTGTTGGTGATAGGCGTAAGCTGTTCGGTTTTCAGTTTACGGGTCACTGGCTCGAATCTGTGTCGCTTGCACCAGGTGACCTAGCAAAATCTATTGGCACACGCTACCGGTGGTGTTCGCGTAGACACGAAACGTCAGGGTACAATGTGCATGACCTAGCGCTTTTTCGTGACGACGAGCGTAATTAGGGACCACTGAACAAATTTTCTACACTTCTGTATGCAAGTTATCTCAGACAACTGCGAACATTAATACCTGATACAAACAGGCCAACCTCCCAATGGTTTGCCGGTCTATGGAGCGTGCGTGGAGAACGAGCGACGCGACGGAGTACTTGGATGACACGGGATCTGTGCCTGCTAACAGCGCAGTCTAAACTCCAAATTTGGAATACTGTCTATTAATGAGCTGCATCCAGGCATGCAATGGTCCAGTACAGTTAAAAACTATGATCTGGGCACCAAGTGCGGTGGATTCAGTTGCCACGAGTTACGCCACAAGAATAACGATAAATAACATGGGCAAGAAAATGAGATTTAAGGAAAATTGAATAAAAATGGAAATCAGGATAGAAAAGCGCAAAATTAATCAGAATGAAATGAAGAGTCATCATCAGTACACGTTAGTTGAGGGTGAGAAACACACCTCAGCTAATGTGCGGCAATGCAAAAAAGATGAGACTACAAATTTACAGTAGGAAAAATCTGATGCCAAATATTATATTATGCGTTGCATGAGCTCAGGATTGGAGGGAGAACCTAAAGAGAGGGGGTATGGACAGAGAAACTCACAACAAAAACGCCATTGGGGCCAGCTCTTCGCCGTATCAGCAAATGTGTCCAACCAAAGGTGTTCATTGTCCTTAGGACCCCAGCCAGGTAGTCGGGATACACCAACCGACGCCAATTTCAAAATGAGGGCTTTTGTTCCTCTCGACCAAGTAATCGCGTGACCTTCCCTTCTCTTCCAACCAACATCCCCTCCGGAGCGCAAACAATGCACGTCGAGGGTGTCGGTGTGTTGGCATGCGCAACACGTGGGCCAGCCATCGGGGCCTGGTACGTGATATAATTGTGCTGAGCGATTCACTCGCTCTTCCTGCACCAAATACGAGACGCCGAACACGCTGATTGCTTACACGGTGCTCCCACCAGGCATGAGCGAAGCTGCGAAGGCAGCGATGATCGAATATGACGAGCATCTTCATGTCTGCCGACCTTATGGGCCAGATTTCACAACCATAAAGGACGGCTGCGTTATAAACTCTGCCTTTCATGGTGAGAATAATGTCGCGTCTGCGCCAAAGGTGGCGAAGATTGGCAAAAGCACCTCCAGCTTTTGCCATACGGTTCGTAACCACATCTTCGATCACACGGGCGCTAATATAACTGTCCAGGTATTTAAATTCCTGAGCGACTTCTAGCTGATCACCACGAAGCGTCAGCCCAGGGGTGGGTCCCTGCCGATCTTGGGGAAGTACTTTGTATTTCGATGGAGCAAAGCATAGCTCAAAACAATAGACATCCAGTGCTGCTTGGCATGTTTGGGAGTTGTCATATATATATATATATATATATATATATATATATATATATATATATATATATATATATTATACACAATCTGTGGTACAGATATTGTGTCATCGGAATCATGGCTGAATAGGAAAACAATATGAATAATAAGAAAGAGCAACAACAACAAAAGCTTTTTTTGTCTAGTTTACCACTCCTTTTTTCTGAAATTTTTTCAGTTTGTTTTTTTAAGAGGAGGAAGAAGAGACACCGCAACACACCGATGCACACATCCGCCATTGACATCGATCTTGAGAAATGGCTTTCAAGGTCTTCAGCTAGCAAGTATCCGCATCTCTCGGACCCCAACCACGTAGTCGACAACAACCGGCCAAGGCCAACTGTTTCGTCAGCTTTTTCATGCGGCTTCTCCATGTGTAGGCTGTCCACCAGACCGTCTTCTCCAGCCCCGTCCAGCAACCGCAAACAACGCACGAAGTGGGTAACGCTGGACAAGCATGCGCAATACGTGTCCCAACCACTGCAGTTGATGCAGTGAGACGAGCTCCTCGAGCGAGTGGCTTCCACGTCCCAAGACGCGCTGTCTAATTTCCACATTGCTTACGTGGTGCTGCCACCACACACGGGCAATGGACCGCAGACAGCGGTGCTCGAAGACGGATAGCCTGCGCAAGTCATCTTTACGAATGGGCCAGGTCTCGCATCCGTATAACAGTACAGTACGAACAGTTGCACAATAGACCGGCCCTTTGATGGAGAGACGAATGTCGTGGCGACGCCACAAGTGCCTCAGCCTAGAAAAAGCGAGGCGTGCTCTCGAGATGCGCAACGAAATCTCATCTCCAACAGCCCCGCCAGCAGTGATGCAACTTCCCAAGTAGACAAAGCTCTCCACAACCTCTAGTGTCTCACCACCAAGAATGAGTGCAGGCAGAGGCACCTGCCAGTCTTGGAATAGAGCCGTGCATTTGGATGGCGAAAAGTACATACCATACTTTGATGCTTCAATCGCCAAGCGGTTTAGTGCAAGTTGGACGACATATAGATCGTCACCCAGCAAGACGATATCACCAGCATAATACAAGTCAACAACTCGACTACCTGGGAGGAGCTCAACACCAGCGTTCAACGAATCGCCCAGAGCGTTCTTCAGGACATCCTCAATGGCAAAGTTGAATAGGAACGGAGAGACAGGGCATCCTTGTCGAACTCCACTGGAGACCACAAAGGTAGGCGAAAGCTTGCCATAAGCCCTAACCCTGCCCGAGGTCAGACTATAGAGGGCGCTCAGTATGGAGACGAACTTCTCGGGGACACCATTCCTCAGTAGGTAGTGCCACAGTACCGTACGACCGACGGAATCGAAGGCTGCACGGATATCCAGGAACACAGCAATCGTTGGCCTCTGATACACATGGCGGAGCTCGAGGATCTGGCGAAGTGTGAAGATTTGATCGATGCAGCCGCAACCAGGGCGAAACCCAGCTTGTTCTTCTCGTTGCAACGATTCGCGCGTTGGGGATAGCCTGAGAAGTATGATGGACACCAGCAGCTTGCAAACGACGGGGACTAAGCTTATGCCTTTGTAATTGGAGCAGATTGTGCGCAAGCCCTTTTCGAAGATGGGGACGACTATCGATTCACTCCAAGATGATGGAACTTTCTCTTACGACTAAATTTTCGAGTACAAAGCGGTGAGTTCTCGAACCAGCGAAGCGCCACCATCTTTAAATAGAGCTGGAGGAAGACCATCAGGGCCGTGGGCTTTATAATGCTTCATGTGCCGGAGCTCCTGCTCGAGTTCCTGGTAAGAGGGAGGATCTGTGGGGGTAGACCACTCGGTCCCAGCGCTTCGCGGTCCATTTGCAGACTCCTGTGCAATTCTCGACCCAGGGATTGGCGTTCGTCACTGTGTTTGGATTTCGATGGGGTCAAGCGGCGTTTGTCCATCAGCGACAAGGAGATGGCGGAAATCCAATGCTTCGGTGGGTGACAGGTAACTCCACAAGTGTCGATACTGGCAGAAACTAAAGCATCTTTGATATGCGCCCACTGCGAATCGAGATCACCGCCAATAGTTGAGACAAGCAAGGTTGACAGTGAGGCTTGGTACCTGGTTAAAATTGCAGGGGTTTGTAGATTTGCGACGTCCGGTCGGTAGAGAGCGCGTTTAGGTGATTCTCCGAAACGCATGCAAATCTTAGCACGAACCAATGCGTGATCGGAGTCTAACGGTGTTCAGTGGGCGCCTACTCAGCCTGAATGTCGGCGCACTTTGATACACATTCAAAACACCTGGCTTTGCTAGGTGGCTAGTGTTAATCTGTTCACACCGACGTTGCGGACGTCCACCGAAACGCACCCGGAGATCGGCGCAAACAAGTGCGTGGTCAGAGTCCACGCTGATGCTCCAAATCGAGCGACAATTGTGGACGCAGCCTCTTCAGCGATAAATGGTCGCGATGTGATCGATTTGCGTCCATGGGCGACCCGAGGCTAGTGGACGCCAAGTCATGCTTCTGCGAGTGCGGTGTAGAAAGTTTGTGCTCGCGAGAGACGAGCGTCTTCACACAGCTGTAGCAATCGCTCACTATTATCATTACGGGAGTCTACACCATGCTGACCGCCCAGATGAAGCTCATCAGAGGACAATTTTCCGATTTGGGCGTTTAGATCGCTAGCCAACACCACAGTATCCGTGCTTCTTCTGTAACGAAGGAGCTCGTGAAGTTGCTGATAGAAATCATCTTTTACCGAATCATTGCTGCAGTTTGGAGGGGCGTAGACGACAATGACGAACAGGCACCGTTTGTTCCCGTGCAACATCGTAACATGGAACGAACCAGCTAATCTAACGGTGCACATCCGACTGTTGACTGGGATCTAATCGATCAGCGCAGCTTCAGCCTGGGGACTCAAAACAATGGCGATGCCAGCTTGATCGACATT